GCCTGCTGCTTGTGCTCTCTGTCAAATAAATAAAAATTTTTTTAAAAATCTTTAAATTGCTCACAACTAGAAAGGTTAAAAATTATACCCTAAACAAGTTCTTAAATCTTATTTTAATTGCTAATTGCTGATTTAGATAAAAATCAACAAGAGCTGTAATAAAAATAAAAGCTTATTTTCACGAGCTGGAACAGTACATATAAAAGCAAACTAAGAGGAACGTGTCCGATTCCCGGAGAAGGTCCAGAATCGGGACACACCCTCAGGTCATCTCTGGGTGGTTCAAAGAACAGCATGCAGATGGGATGTTATCAACGGAAACAGCTTTTCTAATTTAAAATGAGGGCTTCCTAAACGTGGTGATGTTGACTTAGGTCCTCCCTGGACACATGTGTTTTTTAACAGCTCTCAATCCATATATTCTGGGGAATGAGTCTGCAGCGCTGTCCACAACCACTTGCTGGGCCGACACACCGCACGGCTGCAGACAGAAGCCCAGAAACTTGGCTCCGGGGAGGTAGCCTGAATTGCAGCTGGGCGCCAAGGACAAGGCCACCCTGAGTCACCATCCGAAGGATTCAAGGGTAAAGTAGAGAGGCCAGAGGTGAACACCTACGATCACTTGGCTCGCTGCTTATCTCCAGAAGCCATCTCTGACACTGGTTTCAGGGACCAGTGAGCTGCTATGTGTCCTCAAGGGCGAGTGGATGGGGGCCGGCCGCTCAGCAGCTGCTCTCACTGCTACAGCACGACCCGCTTAGCTCCCCGATGAGCCTCGGAGGAACCACGGGCAGGCGGCCACCCGGAGCACATGCGGAAGGCCACGCCGGCCCCACAGACCGGAGTCCACGATACCAGACCTTACCTAACAGGTTCCCGGGCACTCTGCCCCAGGCACCACCCCTGGGGAGCACGATTCAGAACCAACACTAATTTCTATGCATCCACGTTCCCAACAAGGTGAGCTCAACTGCAGGGGACTTTCTGTACCTTGCTCAACACTTTCAATACTTCAAGTCAGTTCTGAATTGACCACGCTACTTGTTCAGTCGACCAGAAAGGAAGTTCTGTATGGGAAGACCTTCCAGTGTTTACCCAGACTCCCTCCATGTCTGAGACCCACCCCAAACAGCCCCCAGGACTGGAGTAGCTTATTTTGGTAGCCAAAAGTTAAAGGGACCACACTTCTTCAATCAAATTTCAACTACCACAACGCTGCTATGAACCAATAAATGCCTATCACACTCTGTGTACGTGGCTGTGTCCATTAATTACTGACATGCTTTCCTTATTCTCTCCAGTCCCGTCCTAGAAAAGCACTTCCCTGACTGTGTTCCCGCAGATTTCAGCAGAAAATACGGATTAAATCAAAAGGGCTCTCTTTTTACAAGATGCCCGCCAGCAAGAAGAACGAAAAAACTGCTTTTCTGCTACGTGCAGCTTAGTAAAAGTTCCGCAGCACACACTACCATTGCTGGCTTAACAGGACAAGATGAAAACAACAGGGAGTGGGTCTGTCTTCCACCCAAATCGCTAGGGGTTCTCTCGTTACTCTGTCTACACACTAAGAGTTGTCCGCGGAAGCCTCCCAATGCCGAGGGCCTTCCAAAATGCTACCCACTTCACTGGTGTGAAGAGCAGTTCCTCACAAGCTGATTAAGAAGTCGTCCAGGTTTTGATCAGTTTAAGGCAGTCAGCACCAGGCTCCACTGCTCACCTAGTCTGTGTGTTTACCACGGACAGCCCCCACTCTGCAGACGGGAGACCAGAACGCGTTCCCCATGGACACACGGTGTGGTCGCTGCATGCTCTACAGAGTCCTGCCGATCTATCTGTGAGCCCTCACTCAGTCACTCCTCCGTGTAGGAGCCCGGACTAGCTCGTTAGCCTCTGCATAAAAGGGCTCAGGGTTCCTCCTTGACAGGGAGGCCACACAGGGACTCGACGAAGAGGAGGCGGCAGCATCTCTGTCCTTGTCGCCATCAGTGACTTTTGTCGTAACAAACGGAAAAGCCCTCCCTGGAAATATCTCTACTTAGTGTGTAATAGCTCTGGTCCATTCTCTAAATGTGCGTTAGTGGGAAATACACCAAAACCCTGGAAACGGAAATGCATCCACTATCCAAATTAGGGACGAAAAAGAACCAGATTTCCGTTTGAAAACTGAAACAAAGAACCACTATAGCTAAACTCACCTTAGATGTCCCCCAACTATACCTTCCCTTCAAAAACCACAGCTGACCCTTGAACAAAGCAGGGACTGGGGCACTGACCCCCCACGCAGGTGAAAATCTGGGTGTACCTTCTGACTTCAAAATTTAATAGCTTGACCACAAGCCTTACTGATAACCTGAAGCGGTCGGCTAACCCCCATTTTGTACGTTACACGTACTCCCTGCAGCATTCTGACAATCCAGCACGCTGGAGAAGAGTGCTATGAACACAACCATAAGGAGGAAAAAACACACGCACAGTGCAGTCCCGTGTGTACGGGAAGAAATGCAGGTCGTGTGGACCCGCGCAGCCCTGGCTGCCCACTGCGAGGCACTTCCCAAACCACCTCCTGAGAAGCCAGGACACGGCGGTCACCAACTTGTTCCCAAAATGCAGTGAAGGGACCGGATGGCAGGGGGCATGTAAGCTTGTTCCATTTACTGTAAAAGCAGAAAAAAGCCACGGCTACACAGCTTCTGGGTGCCGCGGTGCTCCAACACGGCAGACCCGAGTCCCCGAGTCCTGCCAGTCTCCGCGGGGATGGTGGCCCTGCCGGCACGCATCTCCTGGGTGTGCCTGGGACTCCCTCCAGCAAGCAGAGGTGTCCACACGTGGCGTTCCTGCTCAGCCTCCCCGGACTGAGGCGTGGGTCAGGCCTGCATGCCTGACTCGCTCACCAGAGGGCCACAGTGAGGGCAGGTGAGGGCAGAGTGAGGCTCCAGGGCTGCTTTTCCACGTGGTTTCCATAAACATGTCACCTGTGGAGAGGAATCGTCCTGGTCCACATCAGGATTCTTAGGCCTGGTAAGCACGGTGCCAGGCAGATGGAGGAACGTGCCAAGGCACCCAGCTGAGCCATCCAGCTTCCTGCTTTGCACCAGCTCCTGGGCAGGGGCCGCTCCAGAGGCAGCCAGCAACCACCACCCATGGTGAACGGTGCAGACCTGTGCATCGTGGGTCTTTGTTTCCAACCATCTTCAGAGGTGCACAGAGGTGAGAAGACACAGGCGAGTGGGAACGACAGCCTCTCCTTTCTTCCCAGCTCCCTCTGCTACAGAGTAACTCCGTCACGGCCCTCTACTTTCAACGGAAATAAGCACTAGGTCAAGCTCCCTGCACGGCAGAGCCCAGGGGTCAGATGCCTTCAGCTGGCACACATATGAACAGCAAAGTTTTAAAGGTAGGTGTTTATTCCTTGTGCTCTGGGGGGAGAAATAACCACCACCTCAGAGCCAGGAGTTAACAGGTGATTGTGTTTCAGATGAGGCTCGTGAAATCCTTGCACAAACCCAACAATGCCCACAATCCTGAGTCAAGAAAGTTCTAGTCCTAGACACCTGGCAATGGGTAAAAATGGATAAAACTGAATGCACATTACATTCTTAAAGCCATTTATTTTAACATAGATTATGGCAAAATCTATGTTGCATGAACTGTTCTGGTCTTGCAAAGTTAACGTGTGCCTTGCTCCTCTTCCCCACTGTAGTTACGTTTCTATCATTACCTAATATTTAACGCTTGTGTTTGTTTGGTTATCTTCCACTTGGGCCAAGACATGGTTTACCGTTTACGGTAATGCTGTGGTATGATAATGAGGGAGAGACAGTACATGAATGACCAGGTCCCTGGATATGGCAGAAGCATGAATGTTAGTAATGGGCAAATCCACGGAATCTGGGAAATGCTTTATCAAACCTCAGGGACACACATACTCACCTCAACGTCACACCTTTCTATTCCAGGTCATTTCCTAAACTACGCATTATAAATATTTATGTTATATGTCCACATGTGCTCTGAAACAGGAGGCACGTGTGCACCAACCACCAACCATTACGAATGGGGATCTTATGCTCTTCAACCCCACAGGGTGGTGGCAGGGGTACTTACGAGCCTTTCAGTAGGAAAAATTTGGAAAGAACGGCTATAACAAGAGGCTTGGAAGGTGCTAGCTGGGGTCAAAGGGTGTCTTCCAAAGTTAACAAGTCTACAATTAAGACTCCAAACAATCAGAACTGGTTCGTTAGAGCGATTTCCGGTAGTGTAGCGCAAGCAGAACCTGGTGGGTACTTGTGAAATCTATTAAATGTAACTCAGTACACGCACAGTATTATCATTCAAGAGAGTATCTCAACTTTCTTTTTAAATGTAACTACGTCATACACAAAGATTTAAGAGAGAAAAAGTGCCTTCTTTACTCTGGTACTATAGAACTTAGGATTTATAACCTACTGGTCACTTAAAATACATGGCTTTTTAATTATCTTCCAACATGTATATGTGTTCCCTAAATTACAAGCTTTTCATTTATTTGAAAATGTTATAAAGCAGTGAGCGAGCACCTGTCAGCATGCTAGCCAGGCCCTCAAGCATGACCGAAGGCCTCTGTCCACAAGGAGCTCCTTGTCCAGCAGCAGATCGGAGACAAGAACCTGCAAGCCAAGAGCGTGTAGCCCTTCCAAGGAGAGAAGCAAGAGAGGTTCACCACGACCTGCCACCCTCGCCTCAACGGACACTTCCTGGCTAAACGGACACTTCCTGCCGTCAGTCTAGCCCCTTTGAGCTGGAGGGGAAATCAGGGCCCAGAGGCTTTAAGAGGTGGAAGGACAGGCCTAGGCAGCCGTAGGCCAGGCCAAGGACAAGGGACACGGCTGCAGGTCTGTACTCAACATGCAGCGAGGCAAGACCTCCTGAACCCGGGGGAGAGGGCGTCACGCTGCATCTCAGACCCCACGTCACGTACGGCCACAACCTGCTATCTAAAAGCAAGTTTCAGAGGTGCTTACTTGTGGGAAGTCCTTTTCTTCATCATGCTTGCAGACACACCAGCATGGCCTAAAAGAGAAGTGAATATAAGTCAATAAAAACTGGATAGAAAATACTTCAGAACTTGGAAAAATTAACTTCTGAAAAACTGCTAAATAAAGCATGAATGAAAATAAACCATAAACAGCCAACATGTAGAAAGCCCACTGTTTATCTAATTTTTAAAAAGGAGATAAAAGGAGTTCGGGAAGATAAAATGACAGGGCCAACAGCTCATGTCCCCAGATGAGTCATAAAAAACTGCCCAAAATCACATGGACAGAAACCAGAGACGTGAGCGACAATCTGGCCGTGAAGTACGACGTTACAGCAGCTGCGGCCTGCCCCCGCGATCGGAGCACCACAGGCGCGAGACACCCGGGTCCAGGCATCGGGATGACGGGTGGGGCAGGACCACGGCGCGGGACGCAGACTGTGCTCCGAGGGCAACATGTGGACGCCGGGAGGAGAAGGGAAACCAGAAGAACCCGGTGGGTGCGCCAGGCTGAGAACCAGGCCAGGGCTGGCAGGAGAGGGGGCCGGAGGCCTCCAAACATCTGGGGGTGGAAAGGCATGAATGGTGTTCAAAGTCCAGTGAGCCACCTCCTTGAACCGTGAGGTAAAAACCACAAAGAGGTGGCCCCTCAGCAGGAAGGCTGACGGAGCCCCAGGAATCAAAGCTGCCACAGCCCATCCTGGCGTCTGAGGACCAGAACAAACCCAGAAGGCAGCAACGGGGCCCCGACATGCCACATTCCCAACGCGGAGCGGCAGACTGGACCCCACACCCCCGTGGGAAAACAACGTAAGTAACAGGCAAAAATGGTAAAAGTGCCGTAATAAATACGCTCAAATAGTTAAAGGAAGACACAAACAATACTTAAAGCAAAACAAACAAAAAAAAAAATGTGAAGAAAGGACAGGAATGAAACTGGTGAAAAACACAGGATCTGAAATGAAGAGCGGGATGTGGTGAACCGCGGCCCAGGCCCACAGACACAAGACCAGCGACGCTGACCCCGGTGGCGGGGAACAGCGGGGGTGGGAATGGCCTTGGTGGCCTGACGCACTGTAAACCGCACCCACGACAGAGAGGACGGCGTGGGAAAGAAGCAACAACTCTGGAAGGAGCAATGGCAGGTAAGTGCGCAAGCACGTGGCCAGGAGCTCACCGACGCCAAAGACGACCACGCCGGGGCATGTCCTAATCACGGTTCCGAAAACCAGCAACCAATAAAATACTTTTAAAACAGCTGGACAATGAAAGACACATCAAATGGAGGGAAACAAAGGCAATACTGACTCCAGATTCATTGTCAGAAACCACAGAGCCAGGACGGAAGACGGTGGGTGAACCCGTGCACTCAGCACACATTCAGCCCAAGCAGCTTCCAGCCCAATGACACGGAGAATCCCAGCAAACATGAATACGCCGCACGCACCAATTCAGAGACAAGACAGAGGGATGGTACAGTAGCTAACACCACACAAGTTAACTTCAGGGCAAAGTTATCGAGGATCAAGACAATATTTCAAAATGGTAAGAGCCAATGACCCAAGAAGTCCCCACATTTAACCCCAGGCTGACCGTGTGGACCTGGTCCCAGAACACTGAAGGACGCAAAGCAAACCGGGACGGCACCGGCAGGAAGAATCACCCACAATCCCGACGTGAACTCCTCTCTCAGTAACTGACATAACATGCAGGTAGAACATCGGTACAGACACGGAAGACCCAAACTCCACAAACAGCCAACCCGCGCTTTTTCCCAGGTTCACATGAGACGTTCACCCAGACACACCATCTGCTCCTCAGAACACAAACCCTCCATGCACTTAAAACAACCTGAAGCCACATCAGAATTAAACCAGAAATAAATAATATCTAGAAATACCTGTGTTTTTGAAAATTAAACAACAATCTTCTAAAAGTCCATAGTCCAAAGACAAAATCACAATGAAACGTGATCTTGAAGAAAAAATGGAAACAATCCGTGGAATGCAGCAAACACAAGTACTTATTACAATGATCAAAATTCACATTGAGCAGCAAAAACAGACAAAGAACCTCCAACCACAAACTCGGTATCGTGGTTCCCCAGGCTGGAGGCTTGCGGGTTATCCAAATTTCTCTCTCCTTGGCCTTACGTGAAAGTATGCGATTTAAACACACACTTCCTTACTAGTGTTACACTCACGATGGTAAAGTTAACAGGGAGAGAGCTGGACGATCCCTCACTGTCCCCAGGTGACAGCGCAGGGCCATCCTCGCTCTACCCAGCCCGGGTGCCCACACACAAACATGCAGGTGACTCAGGAACGATGGGAGAACACAGCCTGGAAGGAGAGCGGAGCATCCTGAAGCACCACAGAACATGGCGAGGCCTGGGCTGGAAGGATGAGGAAGGACGTGTACACAGACATGAAGGACTTGCTCAGGGTCTGCTGGGCCTGCTCCAGGCGTCAGCACGCCCTCCCCTCCCACGCGGAGGGCACCAGGGCAGGGCAGCTGGCTCAGCATCTGGGCTGCCCCATCCCTGCACGCCGGGCAAAGCTCAGGCCCGCAAGTCACCACATGTCCCCATGAAGTTCACTTCCCCAGCTGCAGGAGGACCCTGGCGGAAACCATGTTCTACTGACCACTCAAGAAACAACCCCTCCGTGGCAGGAGTGCCGTCAGACCAGCAGCAAACTGGCTATGAAATGATCCCAGAGCCCCACGGGGATGAAGTGAAAGAACGGGTGTCCGCAAGGAAACCGAGGGAACAGGGAGCAAGAGGTTGCAAAGAGGGAGAAAGCCAAGGGCTCCTGAAAGCCGAACACCACGAAGAGAGAACGCGCCGTTTCTGGTGCCACACGCTAACAAGCAAAAAGCTGAACTCGATGAAGAATCAACAACTCTCCTTTGATCGGTCAGAGACGTGAAGTCACCGGGCAAACGGCCGCTCCCCAAACCGGAGACTGACCTGCAGATGCGGACGAGCCCAGCTCAGTGGGCAGAAGTGTCCGCAGGAAGTAGGGCAGGAAAGCCTGAACAGCAACCGTCCAGCGGCTGAGGCCTCAGTGTGGAGAAGGCCAGGACAAAGCCTCCAGCCACCAGTCGTGCTGAGGGGATGCAAGGCAGCCATGCTTTGGCAGGTTTCACCTCCAGGAGCGCTGCCAGGTTCTCAGGGAAGATCAGACAAAAATCCCCTCCTGCTTCCAGTAGAGGGAGGGGAAAAGTACCCTTTTAGAAATACAACAAAGTGTTCGGTTCTCAACAAGGCCTACCCTCAAGAGCTTAACCTCTGGGGTCTGTCTCAGCCCAGCTGGACTGAGGGAAGAGGAATTCAAAGTGCAGGTGCCTGCCATCCAGTCCCACAGAGGGAGGAGGTCAGCCTGTGGCCCAGACTCAGGAGAGCGCGAGACGGCATCTCAGCCCTACAGGACGTGCACTGCCCCCACACACCATCGTCACTTCATGGACGGCTCACAGAGTTCCTTCTACCTGGCACATCACGTCGTAGGCAAAACATTACACAGCACATGAAAAAGCAAACAACATGGTTTGACGAGACAGCAAGTATCCGAACTAGGCTTAGATATATCTGACAGGAACGGTGGAACTGTCAGACCAGTAAGCTAGGAGCTCTAGTGAAAAAAAGTAAACATGTGAGAAAAGAGGAGTCATGTAAACAGAGAGGTGGAAATTGTCAGAAAGAATTAAAAAGACACAGCAGAGATCAAAACACCATAAAGGAAATGAAGAATGTGTCTGGGGGACCCATCGTGGAGAAAAAGGAATCATGGAAAGTGCTTGATTAAAACCACAAAAAAGCAGGGAAAAGTGGAAGAGAAAAAAGGAAGAAAGCACAGGGCAAGGCACAGGGAACAGCAAGAAACCGGCCGACATTAATCCAGCAGTCCCCAGGGGCTGCTGAGGAAGAATCTCTGAGCTTCAGGACATGCCAACAGAAACCTCCAAACCTGAAAAGCAAAGAGAAAAAAGACAAAGACGGGAAAAAATCAGAGTATCGAAGGACCGTGGGACAACTACAAAGAAGTAACATGAACAACGGGAATATGCCAGGAAGCAAAGGAGGAGACAAACAGAACAAGTATCTGAAGCAATAATGACTGACAATTTCCCCAAACTGAAGTTAGACACTAAACCAGAGATCCAGGAAGTTCAGAGAATGCCAAGCAGGATAAACGCCCCCAAACCACATATAAGGACAAAGAAAAACTCCTGACAGAGCCAGAGGAAAAACACCTATGTATAGAGGAACAGAGCAAAAATTACATCCAACATCTCCTCAGAAAGCATGCGCGCGGAGAGCAGACTGAGATACCTCAAGTGCTGAGAGAAAATTAAAAACCTAGAATTCTGTATTCTGCTGCTATCCTTCAAGAGAGAAGGAGAAGACCTGCTCAAACAAGCAAAAGATGAGAGAATTTGTTACCAGGAGACCTGCACTATAATAAATGTGAAAAGAAGTTCTTCAGAGAGAAGAAAAACGACATAGCTGAGACGCTCAAATTTACAGAAAGATCATTAGAGATGGAATGAATGAAGATAAAACAAAAACTTCTATTTTTATTATTCTTAATAGAACTGGTAACACTTTTCAGAGTATTAGCAACAACATATTAGATTATAGCTTACTTGTAAGTGAACTGGATTAGTTCTAAATGTGTCCTGCAAACTCTAGGGTAATCTCTTAAAAAAGTAAAAGAACAAGGGCAATGAAGAGAAAATAGTAACAAATACAGCAGATATTAATCCAATAATCACTTTAGTATCAATGGTCTAAGTATACCAATTAAAATACCAAGACTGTCACAGTGGAACAAAAAAACAAGACCATACTGTACACTGTCCACAAGAAATCCACTTTAAAAATACATTTAGAACTACAAGTAGAGGGAAGGAAAAAGATATACCATGCTGTAACACTGATCAAAAGAAGCGAGAGTAGCTATATTAATTTCAGAGAGATCCCAGAGCAAGGAAAGTCACCAGGGAAAAAGAAATATATTATGATAAAGCA